ATAGGAGAACATTCTCTTTCTATTGTACAACATGGTAAGTATAGTTAATAATGGAGAAGTACACATTTTAATGTTGCTAAGAGTACTTTTCAATTATTTTTACCATGACAACTCTTAAGCCGTTGAAAGATACGTTGTCTAGCTTGATTTAATTACTGCCCAGTGTATTTATAAATCATAGCATTGTTTTGTACTCTAAAAATTTACACAACTGTAAATTTTTAATTTTAAAAAGTGATTTGGGCTCTTCAAGACATAGAATCAAAGTAGGTAGTCTACAAGTGCTCCAAAGCCAGAGACAGCTAATTCTCATACTGTACTAAATAGATTCTGAAGGATTCTTTTTACCCATTAGCATAGCTGAAAGAGTAAATGTGCTTCACACACTGATAATTACCTCCAAGGAGATAACTCAAGAAGGCAGAAAGAAAGGTCCAGACAGGCAGGAAGAAACGGTATTAGGAAATACTTTGAACTCTTAAAACACAGTGTATTAAGTCAAATAAATATGGGTAATAGGAATTACAATAAGTAGCCAATTCTTAAATTTTGCTATCTGATTTTATTATTTTTTTTTATTTTACCATGAAAAGCTGAACAGTGTACATGGCCCTGCAGAATCCTCTCATTGATGTATACCATATACCCTCAGTACCAATGGACCTGATCTATGGAATTACAAAGTCTTGAGCTCTCTGGAGCACTTAACAAGTCACTAGTCTTTTCTTGTTGCTGCCTTTGTAATGCCAACTAATCAAAAAATATATTTGTAAAGTTATTGATAGAAATGCAAATTAATTCCCCCACCAGGCCAATGCATGCCCACAAATTTTATATGAAAAATATATGGAGGTCTGCTCAGAGGAATTGCCTAAGTAAAAGGTACCTAGACTCTGACACTCATAGTTGATCATAAATTAATTCCTCAAAAGGGGAAACTGGGAGTGTGTTGCTTCCTAGTTCCAGAGCTTACATTCGGTAGCCATGACTGATAACTCCTTCTCTTCATCCCCAAAAACAAGGAGAAAAATTCACTGACACCTATGGCCCCAGATGGTTGACTGAGGCATTAGCTAAATGACTCACTATTCACAGCAGATGCACGCTGGCACACACTCCAGGCCTCAGTCCCACCCCACCACAGAGAACCAGACTCATTACTTCTGGAATATTCCATTTAGGCTGTCCCAGAAAGGCAGTGGTGGAGCACTCAGTAAGCACTCTTGACATGGGAAAACCTAGCTCACCTAGATATTATGAATATTTGAATCTGAAACATCCCTCAAAAGTTCATGTCAAGTCTTGTTCCTCATGGCAATGGTGTTTGGAGGGGACTGAACAACAAGGACACAGCAGGGCCTGGAGAGAGGAAGTGGATCCTGAAGAGGTTACCTTGGGGACCATCCTTCTCCCTGATCCCTTCTGTATCTTTTATCTTCCTTTCTATTTTTAGCTTTCAATGCAGTGAGAAGTTTTCCTCTGCAAAACCCTCCCACCATGATGGTATCCTTTCCTCTACCACACCCTCCTCCCTGATGGTCTCCCTTCTTCTACCCCGCCCTCCCCATGATGGTCTCCCTTCCTCTATCACACCTCCCCCACGATGATCTCCCTTCTTCTGTCCCACATCCCCCCACGAGGGCCTCTCTTCCTCTACCACACCCCTCCATGGGGGGGTCTCCCTAACCACACTTCAGTTAGATGATAATGGACTGAAATCTCTGAAGGTGTGAGCTAGTAAACCTTTCCTCCTCTAAGTTGTTTTCCTCAGGTTTTTGGTCTTTGAGATGAAAATCCAATACCGTATCTTATGGAGAAAACCTCAAATTCAACCCAAGGAATACATTCCACAGAGTGAAGAAAAGTTAGAGGGAAGGCATAGAATGCTTCAAGTAAGAATGTTTCTGTTCAAAGTCCAGGGAATAAAAGTGTCAAACTGAAAGTACAAGAGCAGGAGGAGAAGACCTGAAGTCAAACATTAACTCTCCTTGTCATTAGTCATGTCCTTCTGGGGAAATTAATGCCCCTCCTTGAGCTTAAGTGCTGCTGCATTAGAATGGGGACTCTGTGACCTTCACCAAAGGGCTGGTGGGAAGATCAAATGAGAAAATATATTTTAATGTGTCTACCATTCCTGGGACATGACAGATGCTTCAAAAATAAATGTGAACATGAATAATTTTCCTCTCCTTTCTATTTTCCTGGGTTTGCTTTTGTTGAAATGTAAATCATTCTGAGCTGTCAGTAAGAGAAAAACACGTTCCTCTCCCTTCTGATTCCACAAGAGAACAGCTGGAAGAGGATTTAGCTGATGACAAAGGAGAGCAAGGTGGCCGAGGAGATAAGGGGGCAGGCACACATGCAAAGCAAGCTGGCAAAAATGAAATCAGGGACAAAACAATACCTTACAAAGGTTTGCGAGAGTGGGCTTTAAAGGAAACAAGCACTTTTATTATTTTGCAGGAGACAAAGGCAACAAATAAGACTCATCATAATAAAAAGACGTTAAAATTTTCTTTCTCTGGCTTGATCTTCAAAACAAATCCAGGACACTTTTAATACTGACTGTCTTTTCCTTTCTGCTAACCAACATCACATTTTTATTTCTTATTTTTTTAATCCACAGACATCGTGCCATTTCTACCCACCATGCTGTGACACTTTTCAATATTTATATTCTTAAAATAGTGGGCCGAGACCCTCCAGCTCTTTTAAAAAGGCGAGAGGCCAAAGGAAGGATGGCCCTTGAAACAATGACCTCAAAGTGAAAGGGTTCTTCTCCCATGACCTGAGAAACCAGAGGGTCACTGTCTAAGAAAGGCAGACCTGTGGTCGGGACTCGACCTCTGTACTCTGATGTGTTTGAACATGGACAGCAGCCTTCACATCCTACAAAAGAAGGCTGGGCAAAGAAAAATGACATGGTAATGACTCTAAGATAAGGCCACACATAGTGTTGGGTGGCTGACCACATTTTTCTGGGCTGCTCTAAGCCTACAAATTCACATCCCACCCATGTGACCTTATGGAAGAGGAGGGGACTGGCCATCTGTTCTTGGCTGTCCACAATATTATTTCCTCGTTATTTGCAATTCCATCACATGTGCTGGCTTTTTCTGTCCCTTGCCTGCCACTAGAGATCACGCTTTACCTCTTGGGGACTTGGTATGAAAAGTACCAGCCAAACATTAAAAAGTAAAACCTGGATACCATACTTAAGTTACTTAGTATCCTTGCATCCAATAAGATTCTTGAAACTTGCCCAGGCTCTTTTTGGTGATTTGTAGAACTTCATTCCAAGCTGTTGTACAATAGATCAGTGGTTCCGATGGATAAAATAGGATTAATATGTGGTGGGGCAAATTTAGGACGAAGCACCCATTGATCATTTCTCTGGCCAGTCATGAAGACCTCTTTGAACTGGGCAGAAAGTCACTGTTACATTTATTATCACAGAAGCACCACACAATTGAGGTAAGGAGAAAGAAGACAGAGAAGATTCCTAGATCAAGGCTGTAATATTTGTTAGAAGTGAAGCCAGACTCTGTTCTTGGTCCCTTCCCAGCATGATGAACTTTTGCCACGGTGGTTCCAAGATTACCAGGGTCACCCTTTCCTCTAGGCTGCTTCTGAATCTTTCCTTTCTCTGAGTTCTGAGTCACAAAAGCATATCTGAGAGTTTGGAAAAATCTGTGCATTCCTAACCACGATTGCAGAAAGGAAACCACTGTCTTTGGGCTGCCTGTCTCAGAACTCACATTTCCCCTTTCCTTAGTCAACATCAGAATGATTGTGCTCCCACCAGGGCAGGGCTTTGGGCAAATGGGCATCCACCTGCAAAGCAGGAAAACTGCCTCAGTCTACTAGCTCTTAAGGGCTACCTGATTCTGGGCGAATGAAATATAAGAAAAGATGCAAAGAGAGAGCAGGTCCTGCACCTCTCAAGCCTCTGAAGATGAGACAGCTGGAGGGAGCAGAGAGAGCGGAGGAGAAAGGAATCAAACTTCCCGTAAGCTCACCTGGGAACCTGACCATCAAATTAGATTGCGTTTGGGTCCAATTCGGTTTGTGACCAGAATCCTGAACAGAACTAAATCTGTGAACCCAGATGCTGCTGTGTGTATTTATTTGCTCCCCTGCTCCTTAGAACAGTGGGTATTTCTGCCATGGTTGGTGGCATTTCTTTGCTTCTTGAGGGCTTTCTGGGCTCAGGGTTTTTTTATACATAGGCATCACTTGCTCACTCCTCGGAAACACAATGAGGATTCAGCTAGACACATTTTGGCGCTTTTGGAGCTCATGCTCCATTGCTGGGCGCTGAAATGATGAAACATTCTGGAAAAATGTGGAAATGACTGTGTGTGTGTGTGTGTGTGTGTGTGTGTGCATGTGTGTAAGGAATGAAACAGAAGAGTGAGAAAATTTGCATGATTTTCTCAGGCAAAAGTATGTCCCATCATTTCTGCCTTTCTGGGTGTTCCAGTGAGTGCAGACACCTCCCCCTGTGTTCACAGTTAGGCACAAACATGCCCTGATCTGCTCCCGCCCAGGGGCGGGCATAGTAGCTGTGCTCCTGCATTCGAGGGTGTGGTCACTCCTTCCTCAGGTTTATGAAAACACAAAAACCACAAAGAATGTTAGAAATTATTTCCTGTTGGTTGGTAGGACGGAGACCTTTCCTCTAGGAAAGGTTTGCCCAAGGCCCAAACAAAACCTTGTTCAGGGACATCTATCCTTTGTCATTGTGAAGACTCTGGATTACATAATATTTACCTGGGATGCAGGGATGTCACTCTTCTAGGAATGGTTTTAGCCCAGGTGGAAGGGGAAGACAGGCAGAGGGGAAGTGCTCAAAGGTACCCATTGTACCAGAGGCCAGGGCCTTCCAGTAAGCACAGGCAAGCCCGTGAGCCAGGGTGGATGTGATTTCATCCAGGGGTCATCTGGGAGCCTTTGGCTGGCTTTATTTAGAAGGCAATAGTCCAGTTGCTCTGTAGAACATGGGTGAGGTGAAACAGCATGCAGAAGTAAACAGTATTCTGGATCAGCTGTAACTTTTCCAACACAGCATGCTATAATTCCAGAGCAAATGTGACTCCAATAAAGAAATCTGTCCATCAGTCAAACCTGTTTATTTATTATCCCCTATCCCAGCACTGTCCTGGCCAACATGAAGTGATACAAAATAAAGAGCAGTCATAGGCCTCACAACTGCCGGAGAGCAGAGACTAAATCCATACACCTTATGGGCTGTCAGAGGCCCTAGGTAACTGGGTATATACGCACTGACCACACAGAGAAACACTCTTCTCAGGAACTGGGCTTGGGACATTTAAAAATCTGGTCATGCTGATCACGTCCTGAAACACATTTACTGCACAGATATGGATTCTCACGGATGTTGAGAAGCCACTCATGTGAGTAACATAACAGAGTCTGTGTTCCCTGAACTGTAAATTCCTCAGGGGCAGAGAAAGGGCCTTATTGGGCTTTCCTATGCAGCATGCTGAACACATAGGGCTGACCAGAAGAGGAGTGGATGGGCCATGCTGGTAAAGATTGCAGAGAGGATGTGTCAGGCAGAGTTTCCTCTCTGACTCCTGGCTTTGATGCTGAGGACTGAACTGGGGTCTATGGAATTCACAATGGACGGTGGAGAGAGACAGGTCTGCCTCTGTTACTGTGTCAGGAAAGAGGGCCTGGTATTTCCGGAAGGGCTCAGGGAGGGCCAGCCCTGGCATGGTTCAGGAGTCATCCCTGCCTGAGCTAAGTAGGCCCTGGCTTCGGGAATGCATCATCTAGCCTCCCAGCACCTGTCTGTGCATTTGAACAGTTTGCATTGGCTCCTTTAACAAAAATTAGCGATACCTGCCATTTGTGCACCAGGACACTTGCTTACTACATTTTATTATTATCATTGTTATTATTATTATTATTATTATTACTCTAAAAGCTTCCATGTTTAAAGTTTAGCTTACTGTCTCTGCGCTTGTGCCTTGAACAAGTTTATGAGGATTTTCTCCTTCCTGATTGGCAAAGAATGCTTGATCCCAGCAGGGACACTGGCTCTGCTGATGGGCTGTCATTTCAGAGCTCCTCCCAGAAGCCAGTGTGGATACCTCCTTGCCATTCCTGGAGGAAAGGAGCCTCTGCTACCAGGAACCCTAGAAAGTCAGGCTGGTTTTGCTGGAGTTGATATCATAAGACATAGGTCACACTCTTGACTACTCAGGAGTCCACACTGAGACACCAGATGCCTAACTGGCAGGTGAGGAGTCACAGAGCAGGGATTTAAAGGGGCTTTCATCAGGTAGTCCCAAGGTAGGGCTGTTCCCATCCAAGAATCCTACAGGCACACAGGATCTTGTTTGTTCAATGAACATCACTGCACTGGTCATCATTGGTCTTTGGTTTTGTTTCTCCATCCTGTTTCAGACAGCTGCAAAGTAGAGGAACTCTTTGAATTTGATTTCCCTTCTTTCAGACTGAAAAGGCCTGCCCTGCATACTCTAGAGCAGTTCTTTGGTGACAGGGGTTCCTAGAAATTAACCTATCCCATCTTCAGCTAGAAGAGCGCGGGGGTGAAGGGTTGGGGGGTTGGGGGGGAGAGGGATAGAGATGGGACAGGGAAGGGGAGGAGGAGGAGAGGAGGGAAGGGCTTGGAAGGTGGAGGAGGAGGGAGGGAAGAAGAGGGGAAGAGGAGGGGAGAGGGGGAAAGGAGAAAGGGGGGCAGGACCACAGTACTTTCCTACATCTTCTGCTTTTGAAGCTCCTTCTCCTGCCCCCTGCCCTCTATTTAGGATCAGGGCGCCCCAGGAAAGGAACCCAGGGGTCGTCAGGCTGCATTCCTGCGGCCCCCAGCCCAAGTCTGTCTGTGGTTGCAAGCCCGCAGCCACAGCGCAGTCCTCAGTGCGGCACCTGTCGGGCTGAGCCAGCGGGCGCGGAGTCTGGTGAGGAGGGGCGGGGCGGGGCCAGTGTCCCGGGCCTCGTGTGGGCCGCGGAGCCGCCAGGAGCCGGCGTGGAGGAGGAGACGCGAGGAGCCGGGGCCGCCGGGGCTGCAGATCTGGGGCCGCTGCGCCAGGGAGCTAGGGTCGCTCAGCCATCGGCCGGGTGCGACCCTCTGCGCACCCCAGATCCCGGTACCCCAACCCCCGACCTCGGGACCCCGACCCCGAGGACTCCGGATCCCAGGACCACGATCCCACGCACCCCGGGGTCCCTATCCTGTGCATCTGGGAACCTCCACCCCGCACACCCCAAACCCGAGCACCCCGGACCCCTGGATCCCAACCCTGGGTCCCCGACCACGCGCACCCCGGACATCAGGACTCTGATCCCAGGAACCCCACCCGCGCTCCCTGGACCTCCGACCCAGGGACCCCGACAGCTTGCACCCCGACCCAAGACCCCAACCCGGGACTTGCCGAGCCGCCCGCCGCTGTCCCCTCCCCCGGTGGGTGGGTGGGGTGTGGGGCGGGGAGAGGGGCCCGCACTGCCGCTCGCGGGCAGCTTTGTCTCTGCTGCCAAACTGCTCGCCCGCCACCAGGTTCGGCCCGACCCGGCCCGGTCCAGGTCTCCGCGCCAACAGGTGCGCGCCCCGCAGCCCCGCGCCCGGGCCCCGGCCCCGGCGCCACGCTTGGCGCGGCTCGGGATTTGTTTAAACCTTGGGAAACTGGTTCAGGTCCAGGTTTTGCTTTGATCCTTAAAAAAAAAAAAAAAAAAAAAAAAAAAAAAAAAGAAAGAAAGAAAGAAAGAAGAAAAAAAGCTGGAGCCGCAGAAGAAGCTGGGGAGGAAGGCTGTGGATGGGATTATGTGGCAGCCACCCCGCGCGGCTCGGCGGCCAGAGAAGGCCCTGCGCTCCCCCGCGCGCGCCGCGCTCCCCGGGCGGCCGTGAGAGCCCGCGCCCCGCGCCCGCGCCCGCGCCTGGCGGCCCAATGCTCCTCCTCGGCCTCCTGCTGCTGACGTCCGCGCTGGCCGGCCGCAGACCCGGCACTCGGGCCGAGCCCAGCCTCAGCCTGGGCGGCAAGTTCCAGCTCCCCGGCGCCAAGGAGCAGAACGGTGAGTGCGCCCTGCCGCCGCGCCGTGCTTCCGTCTCGTCCCGTCCCGGTCCCGGTCTCGGTCCCGGTCCGGGTCCTGGTGCCGCCGCGCGTCCGGGCCTGGCGCGCCGGAGGGAGGCGAGGGTCCCCGCGGGGGCTGAGGCGGCTCCAGGACGCGGGCGGCGGCCAGAGGAGGCCCCGCCGTAGACCCCGGCGGGCGCGACCTTCTGGGCACACCCGGGCCGCCTGGCCGGGCAGCAGGAGCGCGGCGCTCCTGGCCGCCCGCCCTGCAAACCGCGTCCGAAATGAATGAGCCCCAGCACGCCTGGCTTCCCGCAGGGGGCTTCTTTTGTAGGGGGAGAGTGGGGTGCTTGGGGCAGGGGCTTCGGAGCATGCATTCTTGGCATTGATTACAACTCTCCAGGTGCAGAGAGGCGATGGTTAATGAGCAGATAAGAAATCACACGCAGGTCAAGAGGCTGCGTGGACTTTTCAGGGGGATTAAAACTGCGTTTCTTTTGCCCTTTATTTATTTTGGGGAACGTGCTTTTGTCCTCCGAGGCCCTTACTCTCCTGGGGCTGTGTTTTTGGTATGTGTTAGTGAATGACTGCTATTTTGTGTGTGCTGGAAACGACTTAATCCCGCATAGGAAATGAGAATTACTTTCAGCTTTCAAGTGTACCTGAAATGTTTAGAAAACTCTCAGACGCGAGTTCCCTTGGGCTGGGATCCGGCAGAGTGGGAGAAAGGCTCCTTTCATAAAGCCAGGGAGGCTTCGGGGTGTGTAATTTGCTTAGCCTCTGAACCCCATATGATTTACATCACTCCATTTCTAAACTCTTGGCCTCTTGATCTACCATTATGAAGTCATTTTTGAGAATCCTTTGTAAATAGAAATTTTATACAGCACACGAAACCACAGTGTTAACACAGGCTGTCTAAAATTGGAATATTAAACGCCCTGTTTGTAAGTGGTGGCTCTTACTTGAAAAGAACGTGCTTTGGCTTTGCGTGTCATCTGTTTACGCGAGGACGTGGGCCCTTCGCGAGTCAGGTGAGATGCTTGCAAACAGCACTCTCGGGCAGTCGGGTGTTTTAAAAGGCGCTTGCTTTTTCTGTCTAGAGGGAGGCGGGTCAGACCTTCAGTTCCGTATGTAAACGCTGTGGTGTTCATGCTAGGAAAACACAGAAAGCCGTGCACAGTCAAAACAGATGCGAGTCAGGCCTGGGGTTTGATCTGCATTGGGTGCCTGCGTGCCAAGAGGGGAGCATTTGTCAGCCGGTGTCAACGCCACTGCCCCTTAGGGTGCACTAATGCTGTGGCACAGGGCACCTGCAGACCACTGATCAAAGGGCAACAGAGAGATCTCTTTCTAAGTCAGAGACCTACAAAGGGCCGGGAAAGGGATCAAAGAAGCCACAGCACCAGCTGGACCCAAGCAGGGAGCAGATCTGACTCACCTTTGTTCTTTTTCATGTAAAATAAATGTCCAGTTCAAAATAATGCAATTTATGGGGCCAGCTTTTCCTTGAAGTAACCGCAGTGCACGTTCCCTGGCTTTCCCCCAGGCCCTGTCACATCTCCCACTGCTGTGTCCTGCTGTCTCTGGGGTTCCCAGGACACCTGGGCTGCTCAGTCCTTTCCGAATTCTCTCCCTGTGACCCCGATGCCACCATGTTTTGCAGTGAATCCCCAGCTGTCAGGAAGCCTGCGGGCACCGGCCACTTTAACATTGGCTCACGCCCTTCTTAGAGGCCAGTTCATTAAGCCGGGCCTCTCACACTGTTACCATCTGCGGCTGGGCCGTTGCCATTCCTGAGATGTATGATGCTAAAAATAGCCGGTTGTTTCCTAATCTGTGGGCAGAATATTGGGCTATGTTTAGCTCTTGTAGGGTTGGCCTTAGGATATTAAAGCAGAGGCACTACCCACCTTGGAGTTTCTAGTTTAAGGAGAAGCTAGTTTGGCCAGCACTAGGGGGCAGTATAGAGCTATCTTTTTACACTTGCTGGGGTTGCATTTCCCGTGGCTTCAGGGTTCCAAGTTTTGAGGGTAACAGGTGGGTACTGGAGCAGACCCCCCCAACCCCCAGTGGGACCAGACTAACTGGAATAGCAACTTCTTTCTCTTCCTCTTCCTTTTCAGGTTTTAATCTTCCTCTATTTCCTTATTTGAGTATTTCTTGCTCACCCTTGTACTGAGTTAGGGTTGATTTTTAATTGTCTGGTTGCTCTTGCAGTTTTGACAATTATCTCAGTCTGTACAATTATACAGTTTCGTAGGGTACCGCATGGAAAACCCACGGGCCCAGTTTTTGCACTGCATTACGTGGTGAAAGGTCTTCCAAGTGCCAAATAGGAAATGACCAAATTGATCTGTGGTGGATAGAAGAATTTGCCTTTCAAGGACCCCTCGACACGATGGGGTTTTGTCTGGAGTATACAGATTTCCCATGGTGTTAATTCAGCTAAACTCACAGGCCTGCTCAGTCCCAGTAATAAATTGGAGCCCCCAGTGGAAACCGATGATTTGGCTTTGCCCTAGATACATGGGTTTACAGTGGACAGAATCCACATCCAGGGTTCAGCATCATATACCCATTGTTAGCTTCTGGTTTGGGGTCTACAGTAGGACCGTAACTCTTTACACTTGGTCAAAATCGTTTCAGCCTGTCCTAATGTCATTTGCCTTTTTGGCTGGTCCTTCTTTGCATCTTCTTCTCTTTTTCCTCCTGTTCTTCTTTTAGTTTTTCTTTTTCTTTTCTTTTCTTTTTTTTTTCCCAGAGCTGGGGCTCCACACCAGGGCCTCATGCACACTAGGATAGGATTGCTCAGGTACCCCTCCCTGCTCACCACGCATGCGCATCCTTGTCCCTCAGGCCTAACGCTGCAGCCCTGTACCTAAAACCAGTGTCTCCAGGTTTATCGAAGAGGTGAAAGGTAACGCCGAGCGGCTTGGAGGGGTTCTTGCCCATTCACTTCCTGTGTGACTGGGGAAAATGCTAGAATCAAGAGGCATGAATTTTAGATGAGAATACCTACCATGAAATTCTAAGCTCTAGGTAATGTTCTGAGTTGCAACGCGAGCAATCTCCAGCTGCTGGCGGAGTAGATAGTGCTCTTCTACCTTGTGCCCTTGGCGAGTGACCCAAATTTACCCGTAGCCTGAATGTGCCTCTTTCTTCTCCCACTTCCCTTGGCAATATGTCAGCGGTCTCTTGTGAGCATCAACCATGTGTGTGCCCAAGGCGTTTGTGGGGTGTGGGGCAATCAGCCTCTGGGACGGTGGCCTGGTGTCTGCCTGTGTGTTGTGTTTGGGTTTTCAGTGCCAGCTTTCCCTCCCTGCTGCTGCTGCCAGACAAACCATGCGCAGCGCCGCCCTTCCGGGGTGGCTTCCAGGCTCTTTTATGAACAAACAAATAATCACACATGGCGTGGGTCCCGTGCTTCCTATGGGCTGACTGAAGCCCCCAGGGACTTTCCTGCAGGGCCTCCTGTAAGTGGCAGCTCGTGACCTTTGCAACATACATTCTGTGGCTTAGAGATTTTTCTTTGAAAATTTCTGTTCTGTTTGAGAGAGTTGAGGCAGTTGAATAAGTACAGTACCATTATGTAATGATGGATTTTGCTTTTCCATGATAGGCAATGTTTTAAAAGACTCATGCCATTTATACTATGGCGTTTGTTCCCTTACCTACTGGTATTTTCTGTGTTTAATCAGATATGTTTATAGGTAAAAGTAACTCTCAAAGTGTTCAGAAAGTATGACAGGTCTATAAGAAACTTCAGAAACTAAATAAATACACCACACGCTAATTATTTGCAGTAGGCTTCAGGATTCTGTACTAAATTTCCCCAGCCTGGTCTCGGTCACCAGCATTTCATATTCTCTATTCTAATTCCGTGCTTCCTGAAGTTTAGGTCTTATGTATATTCTTCATGTTTACTTCTACTTCTTTCCTCAAGCTTTGTACTTGTATGACCCTAAATTCTAATGGACAAACCTTCGCATCCTTTATAGAAACCAAATTCTAATGATAGTGTGATAAGTAAATAAGCAATAATGAAAGTATTTCCAAGACTAGTAAAAATTTTTCCATAGGTTTTGCTTTGTGTCAGTCAAACTGTCAGAAACCATAGTCAAAATTCTGTCATGTACACTGTTTAATGTTTCTGATTTTTTATTTGAGAGTGATATACATAGATGATCTCTTTGCCTTCATTGCATCTCTCTGCTTTTTAAACAAAGATGCCAACTGTGATTTCTTTTTTCAAAGCTCCCCTCTCCTTCTTCCTATGAGCCCATCTGGTTGCTGATTTTCAGGTCCTGTGGCCCAGCCTGTACTGATTGTGAAAAATACCAAAGGCCATGTGAGGGGCAGGAAGGAGTGAGGGTGGTGCCTGGCAGGGTGAACCTCCTGAAGCCATGGTGCTTGGCACCTGTCAAAGCCTGGCCTCCCCTCCTGCCACACTGCAGGCCCCTGTCCCAGTGGAGCAGTCCTGTCTTATTGACACTTTGCTTCGTGACACTGTGAGCTGTGGACAGTTCGGTTGGTAAGGGCCTTGTTAAAATTCTCATCTCTCCTCCTGCCCACCAGGCAGGCCTGGGACCCAGGCCTCAGGGGACCTGGAGGAAGGACTGAGGCTCTGGCTTCTTCCCAGCCCTTTGTGAAGCTCCTTTGATTTTCCATCTTCCAGGTTGGGCCTGTGAAGAGACATGGAATGTAGACTTGGCACCCTGGAGAGAGACTGCACCCCTGTGGCCACCCCTGCCTCTCTGGCTGAGATTGGATAGCTGATTTTGGAGAGGTGGCACCCTCTTGTTGTCTAGAGTAAACAGAACACTGCCCCGAGAAGTCCTTTCCTGAGATGTCCTCTGAATCATTCACCCCCTCTCTCATCATGGGGGTTAAGTGCATAGCAGTTACTGCCTTTTGATAATCTTCTTGTCCAGTAATTCATCTTGTTGTCTCTTTTCCCACCTCTACTCCCATGTGGAATCTCAGCTTCTTGACAGTGTG